GCTTGCGACCATGAAGAAAGTGAAGAAGTGCCGAAAGTGAAGAAGTGCCGAAAGTGCGGAAAGTGCGGAAAGTGAAGAAAAGCAATAGATACGTATCGATTTGAAGAAAGTGAAGAAATGCCGAAAGTGCGGAAAGTGCGGAATCTGAAGAAATGCCGAATGTGAAGAAAAGCAATAGATATGTATCGATTTGAAGAAATTGCGGAAAGTGCGGAAAGTGCGGAAAGTGCGGAAGGTGCGGAAAGTGCGGAATCTGCAGAAAGTGCGGAAAGTGCGGAATCTGCAGAAAGTGAAGAAAAGCATTAGATACGTATCGATTTGAAGAAAGTACGGAAAGTGCGGAATCTGCAGAAAGTGCGGAAAGTCAAATCGATACATATCTATTGCTTTTCTTCACATTCGGCATTTCTGCAGATTCCGCACTTTCGCAGTTCTGGACTTCTTCACTTTCTTCGTGGTCGCAAGCTATGAACGCGGCCTTAGCTAGTGGGTGAGAATGGTTTATATGTCGAGGATGAAGTCAGGCGTGAGGGCGCCCAGGATGTGATAACTCGAGGCTTATGAGGATGGCTCAATGTTAGCATAGCTTCCCCCCCCCCCCCCCCTCCCCGCTCGACGGCTCGATTCGATGAGGAGGATAGAGGGCTGGGGGAGGGAGTCGTACCAACTCCCAAAAAAAGGGGGGGGTCGTACAGTCTCGACTAAAATCCCCAACCAATGATGTGCCCTGCTCATCAGAATCGTGGTGATATTGTCGTTTTTGTTACCCTTACACTTGTTCTTTCACGGAAACGGAGTAGAAAACATTGTTAGGAAGGGAGGGGGGGGGGAAAGAGGGGCAAAGGAACCTAACGCATTGACTTGTTTCGCCCAATCGGTTATATTTTGACCCCTCCCCTCAAAAGTGGTCTCATAAGGGGGAGACGGAAACAACAGATTCTTCCAAGAGCAACTGCCCCACTTTCAGTTAAGTGGAGGTGTTACTTGGGTCTGTTTTAATATTACTTGTGCGATTTGCGAGGTGATTACTCCGTATTTTGAAAGGGTTGCATATTAATAAATTACCTCAGTTTTCAAGAAGAACTTAAGCAAGTTGACATACTGACTATGGTGGGCATTCAGTACTTCTAAAGTCTAGGGTCTGGAGGGTCCCCGGCTTGTGTGTATTTTGTTGCCAAATTTGTTGTGTTCTCGTTGCTTTTCCTTTGTATTGCTTTGTTTTGTAACCCATCTAGTTTCGCTCATATTGTAGCGCACCCGTGCGTGCATGATAAATAAATAAATAAATAAATAAGTAAGTAAATAAATAGATTAGTCTCGTTCGCTGCCGATGGTGGAGGTGGTCGGGGTGCTGGTTTTGGCACAGCGCCAGTCCAATCTCCACTGATTGTGAAAACCGACAGGTGGCCGCAACTGGAGCTAGACGGGCTGGCGCCGACCCGAACCCAGCTTCCCTCCCCCCCCCCCCCTTGACATACCCCGCATCCGCAGCGAACATTACTGTATATGTCTATGTGTGATGATACATTCCGGGCTCATACATCATGTGTGGTGAAATCTGGTGCATACAAGTGATGCTCTTTCAGTAAGTTTAGGAAATTGCATTGGAAATTTATGACTTTTCATTCTGTCAGTTCTTGCTCGATAGGGTTTCATATGTCAGTAGACAACGGTTTCCATTCCGCGTTTCCAGCTGTACGTCGAAGGGTTGCATAAAAACCGTAAAAATGGAGCCTGCTTCGAAGTGTACCATGAGATCCTCGGTTATGTCGTAAGTGGCTGAAACCTTTCAGATATGTTTCTCTTTTACGGCTACTTTCTTTTCAGCGTGATACTAAGAACCTCTTGACTGTGGTGGATGAGCCAACGCTTGTACCAATTACTGCACGAAGATTACCGTGTAACACGGAAAATGGGCAGCTCATATGGCAAATATATAGACTAGGATTCCCGGTTTTATCAGCATAAAATGTTACTAACGGGGTATCACCAACGGGTTGTGAACTACAGGTGTATATCCCCTGAGTCGATGGGTAGGATCAAGGACGACGGCGAAAGCATAAAATTCTTTAGAATCGCATAGAAGCAAGAAGCATAAAATTCTTTAGAATTTTAGAATCGTTTTTTTTTCAAAAATTAAGTACTTTTAGTAGTGTAGGTGATAGAAGAAGATGAGACCTCTTTGTAACGAAAAAGACAGTGTGCCGGGGCTTTGACTGTAACTCCTTGTCATGACTCTCGGATACTGTAGTTGCCCGTAAAGCTGAAACGCTGAAACGCTGACTTTGACATTGCCTTTTCGCCACAGCTGAGTCTTGTACATATAAGCCAAACATATATTAAAATGTGTCTGGCGATTTTGACTGGGAGTTGCAACATCATTACCCAGGATTGTATAAAGGTCTGCTTCGTGCCTGTGCTTGTTCTGTATGCAATACATCAAAATGAACGCCTTTTGTCAAGCTTAATATTGTTATTTTGTCTTGTTTGCATGTTATTTGGTTTTTAATATGACAATAAATCGTTGTTCTGCCATGTGATGGAGTTTCTTGCAAAGCAAGTGATATATCTAGAACAAACTCTGATTTCCTTATGTCACCGAGGAGAAGTACAGCCTTGTTCGCCGCAGGTGCTGGGGCCAGGGCACGCCATCGTTGTGATGATCACAACGGGGCCGTATTTGACCGCGAGGGAGGGGGTCGTATTTGGTCGTTGTTGGGAGAGGGACTGCCAAAGATCTATACAACTACTATTTCCGATAGTTGAAAATGATAATTATCCTGACGACCTCCCCCACCCCTCTATACAGCAAAAAATTTCGGGAAAAAACCAGATTTCGGAAACTGGTAGGACGTTAGGGAAAACCTGAAAAAATTTTCCTGTTTCACATCAGGTATATACCCCCCTCCCCGCCTCCACTCGACGGAAAATTCTTGGCTGAAAAGCTGGAAATTGTTTGGGAGGAAGCTCGTATTTTTCAAGAAATGGTCACAACGCGATGGCGTGCCCCGGCTGGGGCGGAGTTTAGCGCGGCTCGAGCCTGTTTCCCACCAGTTGTCGCTTTCCCTCTTCAACAGCCGGTGGAGAACAGGCTGGCGCCGCGCCAAACCTAGCATCCTACGAAGCAGTAGCATCCACAGCGACTAGGATTTCAACATGGAGCCTTTCTGCTCAACACCGCCAGAGGTCATTCTGGCGGTGTTGAGCAGAAAGACATGAGGAGGGATCACAAAAACTTACAATTTCTTACTCGAGGTAGTCCTTGTGATAAGCAATGTTTAGAACAGAATGAGTGACAGGAGGGAAGTTACCATCAAATACTTCTCGCAGGCGTCTTTTGTGCTATGAAAGATCAGTACTCGATTGCTCTCCATCATGCGGACGCTAGCGTCGTGCAGCGCAAGTCAGACCCATGGCGTACATCGCTGAGTGTTCGTGTTCTTCTACACTAGTTGGATCTTGGCAGCCATAGTACCGTCGTCATCGGTTGAACGATTTAGCCCTGCTTCTCGTGAGATAGTCAGCAACGCTGTCCTATTAGAGATCGAGTATGGTCACTCTTCGGAGGGGAGGGGGGGGGCAGTTGTCGACCGACTGCAATGACATTCTTCAGACAGGACGTGACGACAACTGCTTCTGGTGTTAAGAGAAGCCTGAGATCGAAACAGCAGCTCGCATTCCATTCTGATTGTTCTAATCGAATCGCTTGTCGCTCTGTAGCTGCTGTTTATACTCGATCACAATCAAGGCACGTCTTGCCGCTGAGGAAAATCCGGAAAGTACGACCCCCTTACTCCCTCCTCTGATTCGCCCACCTAATTCCGTCCTCTGACAGAACCTCCCCCCTCCCTTCCCATCCTATCCACCAACAACCAACAACTAGTTTCAACGATCAGGAATAGTAGGGGTATAGAACTTTGCCGGAGCGAGGGTGGAACGGTATGCGCCCACATACCCCTATAGCGTCAGTGAAACGAGGAAAATTAAGCTATCAAAAAAAATATCTCAGACCAGTTACGACCTCCTCCCTTCTCGCTGCGACCAAATACGACCCTCCGCCTCCCCGCTAGGGATTTGCTGACGCACGACGTGCCTGATCGCAATACAGCTCTAGCCATAGTCCTTTTTCATTTCCTCCTGCTCCCCCGTTGTTTGATAATCAATTTTTCCTAATGTGTTTTATTTGGTAATCACGCGTGTTATCATCATTTTTGAATAGCATCGCTCGCTCAGTTTGTGGTATCCGAGGGAGCGGAACTCACAATCTCCGTCTTCTTCATTGATGCTGTCATCTTCTGATACAGCGAGAGGGGAGTGTGGACGGGAAAAGTATAGTGGATGTGAGTCCTCGCCAATTAAATTACCGCCAAATTATTTGACCTTCGGTATCGACCGATTTGTTTGTGGTCGAAGTCTTGACTCATCCTATCTCTTGTAATGACTACAATTTGAAAAACGAAAACATTGTGGAAAACATGAAATCGCGAGAAACTTCATGCATTTGTTCCGTCTGTTCAAAGTTTACTGTCTGCGATAACTGTTAGATCTTTCCGTTCTTCCTTGATCGAAAAAGATTCCTCTGTCTACCCCGCAGTAGAATGAACACATTCCGGCAGCTCCCGGTAGTCCCGCTGGACCAGGAAAACCGGGTTCTCCTTGTAGCCCGGGTACTCCATCAGCACCTGAAATGAGCTGAAATGTCTCGAAGTAAAGCACTGTTATCATTAGGGATTCTCCATCGAGGATTGTGAGGCATGTTCTAGTTGTTAGAAGGAAGTTAAATCTGATTAAACAAATAATTTTTCCTATTCAAAGTCCTCTATAAATGTCTCTCGCGGAGAGTTGAGGTGTAATGTCTGGTTTGATGGTTGAAACGCTAAAACTTGTCCTCAAGACGTACCAGGAGATCCACGAGGTCCTTTTAGTCCATCCGCGCTTGGCGTAGCTGGTTTGCCAGGTTTTCCAATAGGTCCACGGGGGCCTGGGGGCTAGAAATATTCTTTAAAAAAGTTTGTTGAAGGTTTCATGAGGTTCTCATTTTATACCCATTTTGTCGCGCGCATCGAATCAACATCTGAAGTGCAATAACCGCAAGACTGAGCATGAGAACTCACCCCTGGAAGTCCTGGTTCACCTGGTATGGCCGGTTCCGCCACAGGAATCTCTCCGAAATTTCCTTCTGCACCCGGCAGACCAGGCAGCCCAGGAAGTCCACGAACACCTGAAAATTTTTTAATTCTGTCCCGCGAGGGTGGTGCTCTTCTCCTTATACCTCGACCTCCTGGTATTCCAGGCAGTCCGTTTAATCCTCTTGATCCAGGATGACCAGATGATCCAGGGGTTCCAGGTTCTCCTCTTGGCCCTGGTGGTCCATCCGGTCCTTGTGGGCATTCTTTGCAAAGTTGAGATGTATGTTCTGGAAGAAAAGAATGAATCGCTATGCAGACAATCAATTGAGCCTGGCTCACCTTGGCAAGGTCTCTTCGGTGGATTTCCAGATTTTCCCGGAAGACCATTGTGACCAGGATTACCCGGCACTCCGTTTTTCCCGTTAGGTCCAGGCTTTCCTGGCGGCCCAGGAATGCAACAGGGTTTGCAGTCACCGACCTTATCATCGCTTTCTGAGTCCACCTTCTCCGCTTTTAGCGACATCATGGTGAATGGGCGAACTCTTATAACTCCTTCGCTATCTTTCGAGACAAATTCGTCGAAGTCCATACTTTCATTAGTGAGGTCATTATCGGCTTCTAAATCGGGGTTTTCACCGAGAGGTGCCTTGCCTTTTGAATCAACCAGTGAATTCCGAGGTCTGGCAGACGTTTGTGGTGGCTTGAGATCGAGCAGGGCAAGTCTGGCCGATGCCGGCATTGCGCTGTCGTCCCATGGTTTCAGATTTTTATATGTCGCTTGAGGTGAAGGCGACGATTGAGAGAGGATGGGTGGCTAAACCAAATCTGTTAAGCACTACAGAGAGATGGGCAAAATTACTTGGGCTCTTTTCAGTCCTGCTGGAGTGCACCATGCATTCAACCAAATTTCAAAATTGTAGAGGCATTTGGAAGGAGCCTAGTGTTCATAGTAGCTTACTCAAATTAGCAGACTTTGTGGCATTTGTTTTCGATTCTCCAGAGCTATTCAAGTAATAATTAACTGAAGGGATTGAATGACTGACTGACCTAAGTTCGGCAGGCTTATGGGGGCGCTGCAATCAGTTTGACTGCAGTAACGATCCACTCCTTGTGGATGTGGGTCAGGAGGTCCGAGTTGTGAGGGCGCGCAGAAGTAAAGCTACAATTGCATGACGCCGTGATGATTCAGGTCACGCGCCCGCATTTCATATGCAGGTCGCGCGACGTCTCCTGCGCTCTCTTGGTTGCCCTGACTTCACCCTAATTAGTTCAGCTCTGATTCCATCTTTGATCAGTTAGAAATGTAATGTGGAACTGACTCTCGTCTGATTACTTATTCGAAAAAAGGAATTCCTTGAAGACAATTTCCACGACCAAGTGTCACAGGTATTAGGTGTTTAGTCACGAACCAGTAGCATAACTAACTCCACAGTAGAGAAAGAAGCGAAAAAAACCTTGGGAACACTCGTCGACCCGTTAGCTGGCTGGCCGGCGCCTTGGACGAGTTTGTCGGACGTTACAAGCCCAGTCAGCAGGATTCGACGTGCAATCAGTTCCCGGCAAGAGCACAGGAAATCACCCTACGACGCTCCAGGCAACGCTATGTACACACGCATTCCGCTTGTAAGCCGTTGTCTTGCAGAGTGAAAGTAATCGTGGTTGCAATGGTTGCAATAATCACGCGTCTCTAACTTCTTTATCTCGTCGTTTCGAATGACCTAAAGTGATATATCCTCTATGAATGCGGACAACGATGCCAAATGAAGCGCGACTGTCTTGGAATCGCGCGACTGTCTTGGAACTGCCTCTTTGATTTCGGCGAAAAACGCAGAAATGAAGCATTCCCGCCGTAATCATAGTTCAGGATTTCGATTAGAAACTAAGCAGATCAACAGTTGGGGAGGGAGTGAGGCTGGTTTCTACGTCCGAGTTCAAAGGCAACACTGGCAAAGTATTCTGTACGCATAATAATGTGGTCCCACTCGTACACTATGGATCGGTTCGTGGCCAGGCTAGCTAAGAATTTATCCCTCCAAGGTCAGCCTCGTAGGACCAGAGCCCGTTTCCAAAAGTGAAATCTCTTATATTAGCTATCTCTGCAAGCTAGTGTCTAGGCCACGCAATCCAAGTGCCACTACAGTTCTGGATAAAGGAAGAATGCATGGCACATTCCAAAAACAGGATGGTGTAAGCCCGATGTTTACTTCTAGTGCTCTTACCACTGCGTTGTTGCTGTCAATCCTTCTATCATGCTTGAGGTCTTGGGACAGCGTTGTAGTATGATGTATAGCGAGGGTTGCGTGATGAGCCATTTCTCGCAGGACTTCGCAATAGGACGAATTCCAGTCTCATCTGGAGCAATTGAAGTTTCAGGGTCAATATTTTTTTCTGATAAGGTTGCCGTTCAAAGCAAAAGACACTTCATTGTCAGGCCTACCTCACAGTCTTAAACGACTTCAGACAAGATTGTGATGAGTTGATGGCTATAGATAAGGGCGACAGCCAGAAAGGTCAACGAGGAAATAGATACAGCTGAGCTGCAGTAGATTAAACAGCGGTAAGACATAGGGCCGAGGAAAGCGAAAAGAGGAAAAGTAGCTGACCAGCTCGTTTTTGTAAGTGGAAACAGGGTCAATGGGAAGGCACAAGTGACCGAGTCAATGAAGAGTGGACTGACCCTTGAAGGAAGGAGGACAATGAAGTGATGGAGGGGCGAGAAATGACGGCAACGCCTACCAAAATCTGCATGTACTGCAGTGCCTGACCACGAAAAGATAAAGAGGCGAGTGAGCCAAGGGTCCTTACGAAAACGGGAAAAAAAGACCTTCAGCAAGCCAGAAGTTTAATATTCGTTGTACCCTCCCATTTATGTGCATACAGTGCTTAGCGGAGCGCAGGGTGAAGGCGTTATGCTTAGGCGGCGTTCAGACTTGTAGCGCTATATTGTCGGCGCTACAGCCGCGCGCTACACTGTCGCTCTTCTTCTTCTCCCTAGCGTTAGTCCCGCGCCGTCGCAGGGTCCGCTGATCTTGTTAGACGTCGCCACTTGTTCCGATCCACTGCATCTTCTGCTGTGGCTTTCACTTCAGTGAGGTCCTTCTTGATGACGTCCCTCCATCTTTTCTTTGGGGCTCCTCGTGTCGCTACCTCGAGTTCCAATGCCTTCCTTATTGGGTGGTCTTCAGGCCTCCTCAGTACATGACCGTACCATCGCAGTCGCTGCTCTCGTGCCTTCAGCTGGATAGGAGCCGTCTGTGTGACTGCTCTGACGTCCTCGTTTCTGACTCTGTCGAGTCGTGTCCAGCCGCAGGCCCATCTCAGCATCCTCATTTCAGCTGAGTGGAGCTGCCTTTCATGGTTCTTGCAGATAGGCCACTCACTGCCGTAGAGCATTGTAGGCCTTACCACAGCCCGGTACACCTTGCCCTTGAGCGTTCTCGAGCACCGCCGGTCGCACAGGATGCCAGTGGACTCCCTCCATTTCATCCAGGCTGCGTTGATTCGGGCCGTCACCGCCTGGTCCACGCTGCCATCAGCTGCTAGGTTGCTCCCCAGGTACTGGAAATCCTCGACCCTTTCGATGCTCTCGCCATGGCGATCTACGATGACTTCGGCGCACTCTTCGGAGCTTAGGAACTTGGTCTTCTTTACGTTCAGCCGGAGTCCATTCGCAGCGAGCACATCCTGCCACCGCTGCACCTTGTCCTGAAGTTCCTCCCTGCTCCGCTATCAGGGCGATGTCGTCAGCGTAGAGGATGGTTTTCAGTGGTCCCTCCATGAGTTCTTTTGCCATGACATCTAGAGTCAGGAGGAAGAGGAACGCTATATCTGTCGCGCTACGCGCTACAATTGTACCAGAGTCTAATTTTTCTTTATGTTCTTTCTTTCGAGATTCAATCCCATTTTCTTTCTTTCTCGTTTTTGATTCCATTTCTGATTCTTAGCTCCTCTTTTTCACATTAATATTTGATTTTAACATATTTTTGATGAGCAACACTGTTTTAATAAATTGTACAACCGTTTTTGGGACTTTGATTATTCAGTTTCAGGGTTCCTGTTGATGTATAATATTATGTTTTGCATTAGGTGCTTCAGTTGATCGTGATTACGAAATTGTTTTCGTTTTCTTCAATGTACTGTTCTGTTTTAATTTTGCTCGATTGAATTCAATGTCAAAGTGAAAAAGAGGAGCTAAGAATCATATAAAAATGAGAAACAATGTAAAAGGGATACCGAAAGAAAGAACATAATATCTCTCCGATATCTCTTTTCGCAACAAGGAAGCAGTTCTCGAATTATAAAGAAGTAAATCTACACTGTATGGATAAGAAAAAGAAAACAAAAAAAAACAAGTGATGCCCTCGGGCTCTTTAGGTCAACGTTTGAAAATCCGCTACTAGGCAAATTTTAACGGTTGGATTATCATTGCGCCCGGGGAAAGAATTACACCCGATCTGGTCAAAACTCTTCAACTTATTATGTGAGATGTCAAGTTCACTTGTAGCGCGACAGTGTAGCGCGACAGTGTAGCGCTACAAGTCTGAACGCTGCCTTACGCACGTTTTAGCGCAGTGTCAGCCCATTTCCCTCATTCGTTAATACCACGGGACGGGCAGGCATTGATGGAAGTAGGATGGCACTACACGAAAACGTGGGCAGTTAGGGGCCCTTCCCACGACACTCTCATAAGCACTGTACAAGTGTTGCAATGGCAGCTTTGAAAGGTAAAAAGCATCAACATTTGCAACCAGTCGGGTCATTGAGAGAAGGATTATGCATGAGGAGCCATTCGGTAAGTTCTGGAAGAATCCAGTACAAAAGAAAGTGAAATAATACAAATAAAAACTCTAATTCCAGTGGCGAGGTTAAGTTCTTTGCGGTAAGGGCTGCACCATACGCTGGCTCCCTCCTTCCCCACCCCCGCATGGACCGTACGGCGTGACTTCACCTTTCTTTACCATCTCTGATAGCTGAACAGATGTTTATCTTTCGCACTGCCTGATCAATGGATATCAGAGGCATGGGGGAAGGGGAGACTGAGTGTAAGAGAAAGTTCCGTAACTCCTTGACGTGCCCAGAATCGAGTTCTAATTCTCACTGCACTCTTTCTTTCACAAATGACCGGCCATAGTTACGTGGTGAGCACTTGCGTAAGTGGAGGTTTGCTTTTTGACCGTTTGGAGTTACTGTTCAGGTGATTGATATCTCATTTTATCGAGAGCGTACTTCATTTTATATGTTTTAGCTACACGAAGAGGTGAGGCGTTGCGTTTAGTCAGACATCGCGTCCCTGGATGAGCAGGCTTTTCGGCTCAATTCCTTTTCGCCCACACAGAGGGAGCAGTCCGCGCTTACCATGTCCTCTGCAAACGACAAATCGTACACTCATCTCCAAGAACAGACTTCTTATGCGCGAAGTGGATGGGCTCGCAGCTGCTGTAACGTGCCACTTTCTGCGCTCGAAATGTACGAGAACGAAACTGAAGGGTGGTGATAACCGGATGGCGTCTCCACACTCAGGGTACACTATCG